CCGGGGGTTTGACATCCGCCCCGGGCGCTGTGTCCCCCCCGCAGGCTCCCGGCGCTGGAGGGAAGGAGCCCGGTTCCCGGGGGCGCCCTTGGGCGCACGTCTGGCCCAGCCCGGTCCGGCCCGGCGGGGGAGGGTCTGGTCTGTGCCGGAGCCTCCCTTGCCCCGGAGAAACCCGCCCTCGTGGTCGGGCTTCGTGCTGTTGTGTTCAGCCTCCGGGGAGCCGCCGGGTGCTGTGGGCACCCTGGGGTGCTGCAGGTCCCCGCCGGGGCAGAGCGCGGGCTTGGGGACAGTGTCAAGACACCAGCTCCCGGCGGCTGGAACGCACTAGTTACTGGCCTGAGTCTAGGACTAACACGTGGGTAAAAGGGACTGGCCTCTTGTGTGCTGGTCAGGATAGATCAGGGGTCTCAAACTGGGGGTCACGAGCTGTCAGCCTCCACCCCAAACCTCGCTTTGCCGCCAGCGTTTATCATGGTGTTAAATATATACAAAAGTGGTTTTAATTTATAAGGGGCTTGCTATGTGAAAGGGGGCACCCGTACAAAAGTTTGAGAACCACTGGGCTAGATGATGGAATGGTCCTTTTCAGCCCTATAGCCTATGAATATCCCATACTTCAAATGAGTCAGACATTGTGGGGTTTCCATTTCAAATCCCCTTCAGGACAGGAAGGGAAATAGTTTTCCCCTGTGTGGATCCTGACTGTAGGAGAAGATCCAGCCCCAGGTAGGCTGTTTTTTCCTGTCTTTTTTTTTTAATGTTCTCATTACAATAAAATCGACTTAGAGCCACCTTTAAAACCGTACATAAAATCTCACTCGCATTTCCCATCCCTGAGTGAACAGGACTAAAAAATATCAAACAAACCAACCCACGCTTCTTTCTCTCCCTGCTCAGCCCTTAGCATAGCGACACGCTCAGCGGGTTTTTGTTAGAGATGTTCTTTCGGGGGATGGGTGCTGACTTTCAGTTTCTCTTCTTGCAAACAGGATCCCGCTGTCCCTGTACACACTCCCGTGAGCGAAGCACATCATCACACTACAGCGATCTCCTTGTGGACAGTAGTGGCTGCCATCCAAGCCGTGGAGAGGAAGGTGAATTCCCATGCCACGCGATTACTGAATCTGGAGGGGAGAACAGGGACAACCGAGAAGAAGTTAACAGGCTGTGAGAGGACAGCGATGGAATTTGGTAACCAGCTGGAGAGTAAATGGACTATTTTGGGAACTCTGATCCAGGAGAATAACTTCCTGCAGAGGAGGCTGGAGAACATGGAGAACCTGCTGAGAAACAGGAACTTCTGGATTTTAAGACTGCCCCCAGGCACTAAGGGAGAAGTCCCCAAGGTAACCATATCCCAGCTAGTGCTAAGGGGTAGAAACTTAGCTACTGAACGGGTTTTCATATCTTCTGATATGCAGGCCCTTTAATTCACCACTGTATAAGAGTGTGGATGCAGGGAGTGATCTTATTGGCTTCATGGTGTCCAATAACTCACTTGCCAGACTCGGTCGGTCCAATCATTTATGTATAATGTACAGGACATCTGGGTTCTGTTTCCAGCTCAGTCACTGATTTGCTGTTCACCTCCAGCAAGAGCTGATGTGGAAAAGTAATATTAGGAACGTACTTACGCATCACTTCTGATGCAATTTGGAAACAGTGGTTGGAAACCTAGATGAGAGCCAGTCCCATGTGCCCAGCCAACCAGATGCTCTCAACAGACCACCTGCTGCAAATACTGGCGAGGCGAAGGGTGCTCTGCATCTTTCAGGAGACACATATCTTTTTGCTGATTTTGGCCCTGACTCTTCAAAGTTTCTGCTAAAATTGTTCGTCCAGACTTGGTGCATCTAAGAGCACAGCAGAAGATACATTCTCTGCCATAAGGATCTTCTCCAAAGCCTGTGGAAGTCAATGGCATTCACTTTGGCGGGCTTCGAGTCAAGCCGATATAGTCTAAGAAAGAAGCTTATTGTAACCCTTGTGATTCCAGGTGCCGGTGACATTTGATGATGTCTCCGTCTATTTCAACGAGCAGGAGTGGGAGAACTTAGACGAATGGCAGAAAGAGCTTTACAAGAACGTGATGAAGGGGAACTATGAGACCCTGATCTCCCTGGGTAAGGATCGGTTTTCACTCTCTGATTAGAAATAGTTGCTACTCTGGTTCCAGTTGCAGGTTATTCTCCAGTTCTTTTAATTTCCAGTGACTCACTACTTCCCAGAGCATTAGCAATAGACAGCTCATACCACACACCCTCCTATTTAAAACTCTTTTCTTCTAATATCTAGTTTTCCCAAACCCTTTGAAGGATGTGGAATGTCTCCCATTGACTTCCAAGGGCTTGGGATCACGTTCGGCAAGTTTAAGTGACTTGCCACGTCCCCCAGGGAGTCTGTGGCAGAGCCAGGAATTGAACCCAGGTGTGCTGAGTAGCAGGCCAGTCCCCGAATTACAAGACCCTCCTTCGTTTCCTTAACGAGCCAGATCACCCCATCCGATGGTAAAATCAGACTTCTGCTGATTTAAAATCTCCGTCCTACCATTGTATCGGCTAGTTCTTTGAGTGTATGTCCATAGGGAGCTGCACCGTAGGATGCACACACGCCATGCGCTCTTGACTGGAGACTACCAAGCACTGTCTGCAGGCCCATGCCTGCCAGAGTGGCGCCTTCAAACGAGGGCATATAGGGGGGCGCAGACCTGCTGCCACTCGGTTCCTTCTCAACCGTCTGCGGCTCGAGATGGAGTGGTTGCATGTCCGCTGGTTCTCGGCTTCCTGCCTTTCTCAACATAGTGATTTATTCTTCGTTTTTGCTTTATTTATATGATTATTTTATTTCTACTTTTAGTTTTAACACAGCTGTCTTGGGAGAAGGGATCCCCTCACCCTTTTTCTTTCGATCATCCGTTTTGATCCATTAACCTTCTGCATTATGCCAAAGATCCCAGGGTTTAAGTCCTGTCAAACCTGCCACAGGTCTTTTCCCTGTAGTGACAAGCATTTGAGCTGGTTTGGAGACAGCCACGTTCTGTCCAAGTGTAAGATCAGTTCCGGGTTTAAAGGCAGGTCTCGGAAAGACAGATAGGCTAGACTGAAGCTCCTTCTAATGGAATGCTCGCTAGCCCCGGTGGGGTCCGCCTCCTCCTCTGTACGTTGGCCTCCACATCCCAGGCCGCTCCAGCAGCACTTTGAGTGGCGAGGAGTTCTGAGAAGCAGCAGCCCTTTGCCCTTATCAGGGAAACAAGAAAGAGGGGTGGGTCACCCCCTAATTCTCACTCTAAGGAGGCCTCGCGTCCCTCTAAGGGCACAGCTGAGGCTCCGTCTCATTCCAGGACTGACCCGCCAGCCCCTCACAAGAAGCAGCGTGCAGAGAAGTCTTCTAATAGCACAGGGAGTCATCTATCTCTGTGCCGAGTGACCCCTCTCGGCACTGAGATGTGCACAGGCCTCCTTCTCACACTCCAGTACTGTTGCCTTCCCTGCACCGAGCTCGGCGCTCAAAGAAGTTTCTCTACAAGCCTCTCTGGTACCGCGCTCACCATCTCAGCACTATGCGTTTGTTCCAAAGCCTGGACAAGGGCAGACTTGTGCATACCGTAACCCTTTAGTACCCTCCAGGTTTCTCTCTCCAGAGGGCCTTTTTATATCAGAGGAGCCGGCATCTCCCCTGTCACTGACCTCTACGAAAGCTCCTTCCCTGGTACCGCTCAGACACCTGCAACCACAATCCTCCTGGATTGAACGCCAGTTGGATGTCTAGCCTCTGCTTCTGGCACCTGTATCTGGTTCTCCCGCTTTCAGCCCAGGGGATGATACTTCTTTGGACTCTGAGGTCTCAGTACAAGGTTCTTTTTCAGCATTATACCATCACACCCTGCTGAGCCATTATTTTGAGGAGTGCTCAGTACCCCATCAGATGCTCCATATCCAGGCATTGCAAGTATCTGTGGGGACCTTCCCCTATCAGCTTCCTGGAATCCCTGGGGTCACCTTGGTGAACAATTTTATAGAATACCAGCCAGAAAGAGGCCCCAGTACTGCCAGTACCACATCGCTCTAGGTGAGCTTTGAGCATGGAAGTAACCCATTCGGATAAGGTCCAGTCAGTTCTCCTATCTAGCAGTAAAACTAGTACTTGCAAACTTACCTTCAAAAGTGGAAAAGCTTCCATTCCTGCGGTTCTCTGCACATGTCTCAAGCATAATAATAAATAGGATATCTCCATATATTCCATTATCTCCTAGAACTGGAAGGGACCCCGAAAGGACATCGAGTCCAACCCCCTGCCTTCACTAGAAGGACCAAGTACTGATTTTGCCCCAGATCCCTAAGTGGCCCCCTGAAGGATTGAACTCACAACCCTGGGTTTAGCAGGCCAATGCTCAAACCACTGAGCTACCCCTCCCCCCATCAGAGGTTCCACTCTCCAAAATCCTGGGCTGCCTGTTGGATTGGAAAACACAGGGTCTAGCAGTGAATCCAGGGCAGGTCTACACTTAAAATGCTGCAGCTGTGCAGTTGCACCACTTGATTAAAGATACTACTATGCCAACGGGAGAGCTTCTCCAGTCAGTGTAGTTAATCCGCTTCTGTGAGAGGCGGTAGCTACGTCGACGGGAGAAGCCCTCATCTTGACGTAGTGTTGTCTACACTGGGGCTTAGGTTGGTATAACTGTTGCTCAGGGTTGTGAAAAATCCACACCCCGAGTGACTTAGTTATACTGATGCCAGGTCCACACTATAAACTTGCCTTACTCAAAGTACGTTTGGCTGCTGTCACAGTCGTCCACTCGCCCGTTGAGGGCTTCTTGGTTTTTGCCCACATCACTTATGCCCGATTCCTCAAGGGCTACACAACTTGTTTCTCCCTGTAGAGACTCTGGATCCCAAGTGAGACCTTAATTTGGTTCAGTGCCTTGAGGACCCCCAGCTTTGTACTTATGGTCACCTGTTCTCTCCTGCACTTCTCCCTCAGGACTTAGTTCTTTATAGCCATCTCTTAAAGAATGGAGAGCTTGGTGCCGTTATGGCAGACCCGCCATTTACTACCTTCTATAGAGATGAGGTTACACTGCATCCCCATCCTCAGGTCTCTTCAGAATACCACATTAATGAGGAGTGTTTTACCCAAAGCCTCTAGAGGGGAGACCAGTCTACTTACATTAGGTGTCAGAAGGGATCTCACCTTCTACCTTGACAGGACTAAGACCCTCTGGACTTCTCCAAGATTATTTGTGTCATTTGCAGAGAGGAGGAATGGACAACCTATTTCAACTCTGACTGTCTAAAGAGTTCCAGGTTGCATTTCCACCTGTTAGAACAGCACACTCCTCCAGAGCTCTAGCTCTGCTGAAAGATGTTCCCATAACAGAAATGTGTAGTTCTGCAACTTGGTCTTCTGTTCACAACTTTGCCAAGCATTCCGCCATCTTACCTACTCCTAGGGGTACTACCTTTGGTGACGCAGTCCTCCAAACCATCTTGGACTTACCTCCCCGTCAAGTTACTGCTTGGGAGTCTCCTTTGGTGGAGCACCCATAGGGACATATATACACTTGAAGGTGGAGGAGAGGTTACGTACCTTATAGGACCTTGAGTACTTTGAGATGCTTTGTCTCTATGGATGCTCCACCTCCCACCTTCCTTCCCCTCGGCTGTAGAGGCTCTGCTAGGTGGTAGAGACGGAACTGAGTGGCGACGAGTCCACTGCTCCTTATAGGCTCTTGTTTGGAGGCATAAGGGGCTGCTCTGTGCAGGTCTGCAGATGCTGCTTTGCTGTCTCTGGTTGAGAGCACACAGGTGTGCACGTATCTTACGGTGAGCACACCCATATGGACACAACATCTCGAAGAACTCAAGTTACTGTAAGCTAAGTAACCTCTCCTTTTGTGTCACCTGGTAATATAGCATTGCGCATTCCTCCCTGAACTGGCTCTGGCCTCCAAGGGGCTCTGTAGACCTTGTCCAGGGTTAGGTTCACAAACAAATGGGTTAATATACCACTGTGCATATCAACTCCCCTTCTATGTGGTGACCCCCGGCTCTTCTGCGGGGGAGCACATCCGACCGCCACAAGGAATGGTATCTTTTTACAGGCTCCTTATTAGGTATTGGCCTCCTTTCAGATCTGTCGTCAGCTCCAACGAGAGAAGGGGATTTGGATTTAAATTATTTAGCATTATTTGCAATGAATATTAATAGGCCATGGTGTTCCCTTAACATCTGCTACCATGAACAGACTACGCTGTTTCTAAGCCAGACGTTTTATCCCGCATTGAACGAGGGGAGGAGCCGTGTGTCGGGGATCAGCGGGAATCCCTGGAAGGATTGGAGGAAAGAGACCAGAAGAAGGAAGGGCTGGTGGAAAGAGAAATCGCTGTGGACCCCAGCGCAGGTGAGTGCTACCAAGTATCACAAACCCACACGTCCACTGTAAGGGCTTGAAAGTGCAGGGTTTGGGTGAGGGCTGGGAGAGTCGTCAGCAGGGCTGCAGAGCCCAGCGCTTCGTTACTCCTCATCCAGCAAGCTGAAGGAAGAGGAGAGGAGCGGGGCTGCAGGCCAGTGGGCCACGAAGCGCCCTGTGCTCAGCATATGAGGCACTGAACTCCCTGTTGGAAGTGCAGCTCCAGAGCGCGCTCAGGGGAACTGCTCCTCCTGGCTGGCAATAGGAGTCTCTCAGAGCCCTCAAAGTACCTGCCAGGCACGTCGTTGTCTTGAACTGGATTTGCACTTTAAAACCTACATGTCAGCCACGCCCTGTCTCAGCCCCTGCCATGCCCCCTTTTCACCCTAATCCCCGCCCAGGCAGAAGTGAACCCACTGAGACAAGAGGATGAAAAGTGGGCATGGCAGGGGCAGCTGTGTGGCCCTGCAGGCAACAATATTACAGGAGTGTGGGGATTCCTCAGGCTCCCCCGGGAAAAGCAATCCATTTCCTAGCAGAGATCTGCTTTCCTGAGGATCACCAGTCCTGCCTCTGTTCAGCTCAGGTTTAAAATCACATGTAAGTGCCTGGTGAATATGAATAAAACACTCCTTTCCCCTCCTCTCTGTCTTCATGAATAGGCCAGGCCATTTCCAACCCTGACATCCTGCCCCAGGCTGAAGGAGGGGAGGAGCCGTGTATCAGGGCCCAGGGGGGTTCGCCAGACAGAGAAATTCCCCTGGAGCCCAGCGCAGGTGAGCAGAGGGTTCGAACTCGGACTCAGTGAGGGGAGTGAACAGCCCCGGCCCATCAACTTGTATAACTGCATCTGTCTGGATGTGTTTGCTCGTCTGTTTTTCCTTCTCTCCACAAAATGTCACTGATCCTTCCACCCATCCCAGACAGCTCCAGCCCCAAACCCTTTGCACAAAGAGGTCAATAGGTGTTGGTAAAACCCACTCTGATCTGTTTCTGTGTCTCATTAACATCATCAATCACCAGGTTCCACATCTGCCACTTCACCCTGGATCAAAGGAGAGGAAGAGCTGGATGCTGGGGACCAGCAGGAATTGGGGGAAGGAAGAATTCTCACAGGCTCCCGCATGGGTGAGCAATGGCTGGCTGCCCTTGTGCAAAGCTCCCATTGGCTCTGAGGGGGAGTGGGGCCCTAAGGGATTGAAACACCTCAACGGAGGTGAGCGGAGTAGCTACCTGCGGCTCCTCGGAGCTCCTCCACTTCTGGGTTTTCTTCCTATTAGTGAACGTTGATTGTTGTTTGTATTGCAGTCCCGAATCAGGGCCCCCGTTGTGCTAGGTGCTGTATGAACACACAACAAGAAGACAATCTCTGCCCCAAAGAGCTTACAGTCAAATAGCCCCATTGGAAATGTACAGCCGTCACTCGATGGCAGGTGTCGGTCAAGCTCCCCACCTCTCGGGAGTAATAGGGGGCACTTATCCCGTCTTTCAACTTTCTGAGTGTTTGATGGGATGCAGAGGAACAGGGCCCCTCCTTTACCCTGCCCCCATGCCTTCTGTGGGGGAATGTTTACCCCTCGACACCCAACTTGGAGGGGTGGTTTCAGGCTCATAACATCAGTCGTGCTGTGATGCAGGAGGTGTGCAGGCTAGAAGTGTCATGACATCCAACCCAAATTGTGCGGTTTAGCACACAAGATTTCAAGCCAAGACGAGCCCTACTTCAGGTCTGTTGAATTCATACGCTGAAGCTATAAACTATTTATTGGGCCATTAAAAAGTGTCATTTTTTTCTGAACAGAATCTCTTAGCCAGGGGAGTTTCCTTCCAGATCAAAGCCCGTCCTAATGCCCGTCTCTCTCTCTCTCTCTCTCTTTCTATTCTAGCAGATGATGAGACAGCGAGCAAAGAGAAGGAGAAGCCCCGGAAAGGATGTCTGGAGAAGCTGGAGCCGCATGGGATGTCATCGGTGAAATCAGAAGAGGAGGTTTTGCAGAGCCTACAGCAGGGAGCGGCTGCACAGCTGGCTAGCCCCGCAGTCATCAGAGTGGAGAAATCCACCCAGTGCGACCGAGACTTCAGCCTGCTCAAGGGCTTCGTGGTGCAGCCGGGAGAGAAGCCCTTTGCCTGCAGTGAATGCGGGAAGAGCTTCCGGCTGAAGGGGAATTTCGTCAAACACCTGCGGAGCCACGCCAAGGTGCGGCCCTACAAGTGCACCGAGTGCGAGAAGAGCTTCAACTGCCAGTCGGAGCTGCTGCGACACCAGATGATTCACCGCGGGGAGAAGCCCTACAAGTGCAGTGAGTGCGAGAAGAGCTACAGCCGCAAAGTGTATCTGCTCAACCACCAGCGTGTGCACACGGGGGAACGGCCCTTCCAGTGCACGGCGTGCGAGAAAAGCTTCCGGCAGAAGGCCGTGCTCATCTCGCACCAGCGCCTGCACACCGGCGAGCGCCCCTACAAGTGCAGCGAGTGCGGTAAGAGCTTCACTCAGCAGTCCAAGCTGACCAACCACTACCGTATCCACACAGGCGAGCGCCCCTACAAGTGCACCCAGTGCGACAACAGCTTCAGCGAGAAGTCCAAGCTCAACAACCACTACCGCATCCACACGGGAGAGCGGCCTTACAAGTGCACCGAGTGTGAGAAGAGCTACTGCCGCAAGGAGTATCTGCTCAACCACCAGCGCCTGCACACCGGCGAGCGGCCCTTCCAGTGCACGGCGTGCAGCAAGAGCTTCATGCTGAAGAGGAGCTTCATGAAGCACCAAAGAAATCACGTGGAAGAAAGACCCCACCAGGGCGGCCCAGCTGCTAAAAGCCATGGCGGGTCTGTCGACCATCAGGGTAACGACCCGGGAGAAGGGCTGAAGCGTTGCACTGAATGCGGGGAAAGCTTCATGGGGAAGCCTGAGCTAGAGACACACCAACAGGTCCATGTTCGGGAGCGGCCACATCAATGTGGCATGTGTGGGAAAAGCTTCCGATACGAGGAATCTCTGAAAGAACATGAGACTCTCCACAGCACGGAGCAAGGGCATCCGGAGGTTTCTCGGAGCCCCGGACAGGGAGCAGAGGCCGGACTCCTTGTTGTAAAGATGGAAGATACGTGGTAGCCAGTGGAGTTAACGTTCAGCAGGTGCGTTAGTCAGACGAAAGGCAGGAGGAGGAGTTGAAACGTCTATGGTTTAGAGAGAGCTTCACCTCATCAGATCTGACTGTGTCTGAGCCCCTGGAGGAGAGGTGGAAACCCAGCCCGTAGACTTCCTTCTGTCACTACCTGAAAGGGGAACCAGGGACACCAGCTGAGGAGGATCCTTCTCTCTCAACTGAAAATGCAGCAACGGTACCGTGGGGACACGCAGGGGAACCAACTTCTGCTTGGGAAACATCCCCACACGATGGCAGGCGGACGGCACCGGGAGATAGAAGGGACATGAATGACTAGGAGGGGGATGGGCACTCTGTATAGAGGGCCTGTCGCTGGGCCTCACTGGACAAGACTGAATTGCAGTTGCTTAGGATATAAGCTGACATCTCAAGTTCAGCCCCATGGCCCACGTCCAATATAGTTGAGGAGGTCTGGTCTGCTCTTGTTACTAATGCGACCCTCGCTTTAGCCTTCACTCGCCTTGAGGACATCTGAGGTTCTGTGACTCCAGCAGAGGAGGGACTCAGGAGTAAAATAAAAAAGGGGAGATGAGAAATACCCTGAAAAAAATGGGGCACGCATGGGAGATTAGTAGGCACAGGTGCTGGAACAATTTGTATAGTGGGGTATAATGAGAGCCATTGAACCAAACTGTAAACCCTTTATATGATGGACACCCTTTCAAGCCAGCACCCTTGCTTCCTGCACCTATGTTAGTAGGTAAATCCAAAGAGATGTTCTCCCAGACTCCGGACCCAGGTCACCACTGTGGAGCTTTTCACTTGGGCAGGTGGGGAGCGTGTGTGTGTGTGGGGTATTTGTGTTATTTTTTTACTATGTAACATGTACAGATCTGATCATGACTTTTAAAACCTAAAGGTAACACTGTCACCTCATCCTTCAAAGTGAGAAGGCAGTTGTTCCCACCAACATTTCCTCAGCCATTTCAGGGTTTCTCCCTGGAGCTTTTATTTTGATGTACGTACTATAATTTGCATTTTCCGCTGTTCTTTCGTATGGCTGGTGTAGAGCAGCAACTACAATTTCACCTGAAGTTGATCGAGCCAAATGGCTACGTCAGGAGTAGCAGAATTTATTGCAGTGATGCCTCCTTCATATTTATCAGTTGGGCAGTAGGTAGTGATATGGTCGATGGTCAGTCCTGGGGAACCACACTTGCACACCGGGGAGTCCTTGATTTTCCATTTGTGCATTAGCTAGCCGCATCTACCATGGTTGGTTTGAATTTGGTTCAGAGTTGACCAAGATGACCGTGGAAGGTCAAACCTAGGAACCTTCTGCATGGGATCTGGCACAAGGTGCTTAGTCTTGTTTAGCCCAATCTGCTTTCCAAGCCTCCTGATCATAACCTGATTGCATGAGGCTAAATGAATGTCCCCAGAAAGGTTTGTGGGACTTAAGACCTTGCGGGTGGGGGATGGGGGGGTGTTGTCAAGGTCTTGATGAATAGGAAGGCATCTGTTTTCCTGAATTCGCTGAGCTTTGTTGTATGTTGCAGCTGTTTGGTGTATCGGCAGGAGAGCGATGTTAGACCGAACAGGCAGCCGTGGTGTTGGAGTTGACTTAAGGGTTCCTGTGATTCACCGCATCGCTATTTAGCTGAGTATCCACAAGTCGTGTGTGGCTGCATCTGCTCCATTCCGGTGCACAATATTCAGCTACTGAATATACAAGTGTTATTGCAGATGTTCGCAACCCTGATGCTGATGCACCCCAGGTTGTACCTGTTAGTTTCTGGATTATGCTGGCTCTCGTTTTTATCTTTGCAGCTACCTTCTCAAGATGATCATGGGGATAGGGTGCGATCGAGTTTCACTCCCAGATATGTTTACCACAGGAAGCTACCGGCCAATGGAAAGGGGCGTCACGTCCGGCTCTTCGGCGGCAATTCGGCGGCGGGTCCCTCAGTCACTCTTGGAGGGAAGGACCCGCCGCCGAATTGCTGCAGAAGAATGAAGCGGCGGCTGTAGCGCTGCCGCCGAAGTGCCGCCGATCGCGGCTTTTTTTTTTGCCCCCCTCCGCTTGGGGCAGCAAAAACGCTGGAGCCGGCCCTGGGAGTGTAGCAGGGCTTTTGCAATATGAGAGCCCTGGTCTGATTGTACTGCCAGAACAACTCCTGCATCTCTCCCATCCAGCAGGGACTGTGCTTTCTCTGGAAGCCTCAAGGAATGTTCCTCTTTCCTGCTACTTTCAAGCGGCCTGTGAACCGTTGATAGCATTCTGGTCTCACTAGAATCCTTGCAACAGTTTTCTCAACAGTCTGTTTGTAGACATCCTAATCAGCTTTAGCAAAATTCCATCGTGGTACCTGTTTCAGAAAGAACACAGGAATTTTGATGTCTACATAGATCATTATAGGCCTGTGTTGGCTGTTTGGAAATGCCGATAGTACTTCACATGTTGTGGTAAGAGTATTACCACGTTGGTCTTTAGACACGAATGTTAGGTCTGGCTTGTACTCACATTGCCAGCGGCTTGAATGGAATGTTGATTGTTGTTTTAGTTCATAGTTTAGTTGTAAGTCTTGGGCAGATATCCAGTCCATGAGATCTTCGCCATCGGTTTCATTTGTTTTATAGCCCCACATAGTGTGGTGACAATTAAAATCACCTGCATAGATGCATGGACTGGTAGCGCTGGTTTTGGCCATCTTGTGCTAGGGGCTGTATAGACGTTAGTAATGTGGAGCTCTCCTATTTTGATAGATGTGGTAAATGTGGTGGTCTCTTCGGTTGGTGGAATAACATTAAAATCTGTGATGGTGTCCTTGATGTATATTGCCAAGCCATATTTAGGATGATGATGGCTAGTCATTAGGTTGTATCCATAGATACGGTAGCGCCTAGCCTGTTGGTCATTGCCAACATGGGTCTCTTGCAACGTGAGGACATCTATGTTATAAGTCTTCAGCAAGTTTCCAAGATATTTGTATTTTGCCCATGAGACTCCTTCATCATTAGGTTGCAGGATTCTTATTCAAGTGCCTATTTGGCACATTGTATGGCCCTGAGGAGGAACTTTAGGATTTGTTGAGTTGCTGCTCTGATGACCGGGAGATCGCTGAGCGATATTCGGTCGTTGAGTTGATGGCATTCATTGTGAATTCTCACTTAGCAGAGTGGGCCCCTGTGAAGGCTGCCATCTTCCACTCCATTGTCCACTGTTAACCAAAATTTAACGGAGCCTCTTGAGTGAGCCCAGCAATAGGGACACATACTGCTACATCGCAGCGAGCTTCCAGTTACCTGCTACAGTGTTCAGGATATTGTAAATATCAATAAGCAAATCACACTTTTAAACATGGACCCTATTGCAATGTGTAGAGACAGGCAGTGGGGTGAAAGCTCCTGTTGCTTTCAGCTAGAGCCCTCCGCCTGATTATTTTTTTTAATCCTGCTCCCATTCCACCCTGCAATACCCACTGCTACTTTCACCTGCTCCTGCGTTGTTTCTTGCATTTTTATCCTGCTTCTACCCTGAAAAACCTTAGATCCTGCAAGAGAAAGAGATTCCCCCATGGTACTTAAAAACATAAAATAAACAAACCTGGTCAGTTAATATATTATATGGGTGTGTGTGTGTGTGTATATATATAATAAAATGGAATTCAGACACTAATTTTTACCTACTAAAACAATAAAACAAATCTTGACTTAAACCATGAAAAAAAACCCACAACCCACCTTTAACTCCTGTTATAATAGACATCAAATCTTTCTATTCCTTGCTTAAATTTAAGTATTAAAGCCTTTATTTAAAAAAAAAAAGAAAATCTTGTTTTACATTGCTGAAAATCTATTTTTGACAAACTGCTGCTGTTTATAATACATGAAATGTCAAAGCAAAGTGCACCACAGTTTTGCCTTATAAGGTGCAGGGTTTTTTTAATGATTATAAAAAGTAAGTTATTAAAAAAAACTGGAATTTTTAAAACTGTGTAAGCACTGATTTTAGAACTTTGAAACATATCATCCAAGTTATTTATATGTCAGGATTATTGTTGCTTTTAAAAAATGTTTAACGGAAACACTGTTCACAGCCCTGACAGCAAACTGATACACCAGTGACTGAGTGCGCATATGTGATGTTACCGAACAACACAATCTGTGGGTGTGATTCTCTGACCTGACTTGAGCTGGTGTATTACACCACATTCAGAGAGAAGGAGATAAACTCAAACAAAATAATTAGCAATTTCTCAGAGAGGCTACTCTTGATAAATTGATGAGAGATTTAGTGTTTGTGTGCAAATTACAGCAGTCTGGGTTTTTCTGCCTCTACTTCCAGCTGCTCATGTGCTCCTGCACTCCCCATTGATGGAGTTTTCTCCTTACTGATTTTTAATACGTTTACACTAATCAGGAAGCAGAACCTTCACTCCCCCCCAAAAGACACTGTTAACTCTTGCAGTCTTGTCTTGAGTCTTGGGACATTTATTATTTTCTAAATCATATTTTGGGGGGGCTGACTTATGATTTTTTAACCTGTGGGGTTGGCAATGCTGCAAGTATTTATTTTGTGTGGCAACATCACATGGGTAGAGTCCACACTGTACAGAGACTGCTCAAGGCCTCTGGCCCATTGGAGTTACTCCATTTCAGCTTCCTTTGGCCTGACTCTTATCTCACGTAGGGCAGTGTTACTCCTTTGACTTCAGTGGAGTTACTTTTGATTTACACCACTATGCGTGAGAGCAGACTCAAGGCCTGTATTTTCCTAACCGATTTTCCTCAAAGCATGTCTGTTTTTCCTCACCAAACCACTCCCTGGCCTAAGCCTTCTCATGATGCTGTGTGCCTCCCTGGCTGCCGCTAAGTTAATTCATCGTCTGTATCATAGTTTCTTATACACACCTGCGCTATTTTGGAAACTTAAAAATTTTGTGAGGCAAAGTTTAAGCATCTGAGGTGCCTCATTTTACTTGAGCAATACAATTAGTAAACCAACCCCCCCCCCCCCCATCCAATCTCATAAGACCATAACACAAGAACAGACATAGGGGTCAGACTAATGGTCCAATCAGGGGAGAGGGAACGGGGAATATACCTGTCAGCTCTCAGAAGGATAATATAGGTGACTCACAGCATCCAAAAATGGGTTGGCGCTGAGGAGGGGAGACAAAAGGCCTAGAGTTATTTTAGATTCTTTTAAACACCCTCCCTAAGTCACTGACCATATGATACCAAGCAAACTTTCCAACAACTTTGCATTACAAATATCTTCAGCCCCTTTTCTCCTCCCTCCCTGTGGGTTTTACTGCAGGTCCAGTAGCCCAAGCACCACTCCCTGTTTTGTTGTAGAGAAGGGCAACTAAAATGATTGGGGTTTGGAACAGGTCCCA